AACATTAACTGTACCTTTGGGTATATTCTACCCACAAGGGTACAGAACAGATAAATGCGAGAGAACATTAACTGTACCTTTGGGTATATTCTACCTACAAGGGTACAGAACAGAATAATGGCAGAGAATTTAACTGTACCTTTCAGTCAGTCCCAGTTTTTTTGATGAGTTGTTTTTCTCGTTTAAACCGTATATTTATGTGTGATTCTATTTCTCTTGCTCTCCGCTTTGCAGCCAAGCCTGGTTTAATTGCACTTTGTGTGGTTGGAAGTGTGGCAGGTTTAGCTATTCTTGTAGCGATCATTGCTTACTTTGTCCACAAGAACAACTCGAATCAAGCATCTTTCTCCAACGGTAAGGTCTCGTGAAATTCCGTACTTGTTACTACTGATAATACTGTGCTACGCATGTCTATCAGGGATTATTGCGTCTTTTAATTTCTATTACATTGTGAACATAGGAAATGTCGTGGCAGTTGATCTCTAAAATGCAGTGCACTTAACTGTTTTACGGCTTTAACTATGCAGTTTTCGATGCTCCTATTGCGTTTATGCTACCAGATTAATCTGTGATAGTCACTATGGAATCACATGTCACATAGCGGTTTTCCAATTGGCCACTCTCTCTATATTAAAATTCTAACTTTGCTTCGAGGAATAAAACTAAAGAAGCTACAGTACATCGAGGTTTAGGGATGGGTCCCTAATCCCCCAAGCCCCCGAGCCAAGTTTTGAGTTTTAATATATCAAAGCAATTGAATCACTCTGGCCAATCACAACGGTCGCAGCCGTCTACTATTGTCTTTGTTGCTAGGTGAAACAAAAGCAATAGTAGACGTGTGCACGCAGGCTAACAATCCAGTGAACCAATCAGAACTCAAAGCTTACAGGCGTGTGCGAACAAATCACAATTGTTTTTGGTTTTGCTTCTGGTTGGATTACATAAAGACGCGAGTTTTGTAAAGCCAATCTTGTCAGGGGGATGGGGGAGAAATGCTAAATGCTTATTCATGAGATTTAACTCTCCAAAACTTGAGATTTGAAATATTGACATGGCCTTGTTGTGAGGCTGAGTCAAGTAAGCGGTGCCTCTTGCCACTAAAGTGGATAGACTAGACTGCTTCCCGTCTCCTACCACAGAAACTGGTGGCAAATGAATACACGTTTAACAGTTCCTTGGACGAAAGTGCTTTTCTTCCTTTCTTTGTTTCAGAAACTTTCTTTCTTTATTATTATTTTATTTTATTTGTCAGTTCCAATTTTTTGTTACTGACATAATCCGTGAATA